GGGCATTAACGCACCACTGATCGATATCCATCTCTGAAAAATTTCGACGTGAGAAAAAAAAAAGAACGGGATCAGTAATAAAATCATGCTCAACGATGGAGGGTTAAGAAATGTGGTCACTGATGAAAGCGGGTTAAAAGACACTGATTGTACAAAGAAATTGGAAGCACCAAGGCTTGTTCTGGATATTTCTCTATGACCATAATCCGATAATTTCCTTCAGCAATTAACCACCACATCATTGCCATGCCCTATTTTCTTTGCCTTTGTTACAGCTGACAGTGCTTTCACTCTGCTCGCTTTTGAACTAGTTAGATTGTTGCAACTTCCTCCCACGCAGTTATTCGAGCGATCCCTTCAATTTTTTTGTCATCCTGGTGTTTGTTTAACGATGCGTAAGTACCATTTAGCTACCCGCTTCGTCCACTTGTTGTCTCTTGTTGCATTAACTAGTGCATTGCCTTAGTAAATTCCATTAGGTCAGGACGAATGCAACGAGGGAAAATCGCACTGGAAGTATTGTGCAATTTAATAACGCCTGCCGCGCATCGTTCTCCTGCTTGGTGGGTCCTGCTAACGTTCTTAAGCAAATATGATCTGCATTTCCCTCACTCGTGCAGTGGAAGAAGAAGTGAAAAGTGATACTTTTACAAGTGTATGATTTTAGTGTGGGTATTTTGATAGCAGTGGAGGAGAGGAAAATTAAGCAAAAGGAAAGGGGCAGAAAGAACTGAACATCCTAAAAAGGCTTAACGCTTTTCCCGCTGCTGCTTTAGTGCTTCATCGAGCAGTTCCGGCCAGCATGGTAAAGTTTTAATTACTGCGTAAGTGTCTAATTAAGTTACAATATCTCGCCCTGCCATGATGTCCTGGGGGAAGCAATGCGAAAACTACCTGATTATTGTTCAAGGCAGCAAATATGTCCCTTGCTTCACAAATTCAGCTTTATTCATCGGAGGTAAGTCTGAGCTTGTGGCGCCTCTAATGGTCACGTCTTGTCCTGGAAATAGAGTGCTCTCGTGTAATAGCGTGCATTTAACCCAATAACTTTTTATGTGCCCAACATTATCACCACATCAGATTCAACTCCGAACCGCCACACCTGTGCGTATCGAAAAACAAGTTCTGGAAAACTCGCAAAAATATTTTTCGGGTTTTTCTATGCAAAAACATGGTTCATATTGCCGAATGCGTGAGAAAAAATGCTGCAGCAGACCAAAATAATGCCAGACCCAGGCTGCAACGCACCAGCCTTGCCGGTGCGATCTTGTAAACTTGCAGATAGCCAGCAGGAGGGATGGTTCCTGCGCTATAGTTTAACACTTGAACTCATCATTGGCTGCGTTTTGGCGCCTTTCCGCATGCAGGGGAAAGGGCGTCGGCTGCAATGAAGGTTTGCATTATGGGGCCACATGGATCTCCAGCTTGCATGATTGTCAGTTTTTATGTGTTTTTTGCAGCTATGCAATGCAGAAAATGCATACTGACGAGGGGTTGTCTGTGTGTGCGTTTGTCATGGCTTCTCATCTCAAGACCTACAAAAGCTACAAGGCTGAAAATTTGGGAACTTAATCTACGTGCACGTTTGGGCTCCAATCCCCAAAATGTGCGCTCTTACCCGCGTGGTACCCACGCACGGGCCCGTCAAAATTTTTTTCGGGTAAGTCGCTAACTCGCGAATCAGAAAAGCTAGAAAGCTGAAGTTTTAAGGGGATGTTACCCGTCCACGTAAGTCTCTTAAAAGTCCAAAGCCTGCCCTGGGTTATGCGTAGTACCCAGATAGGGAGCCGCCAAAATTTTTTTCGGGTAAGTCCCTAACTCGAGAAGTTAAAAAGCTAAAAGACTGTAATTCTGAGAGGATATTCCCCGCCCGCCTAAGTCTAATTGAGCTCACAAACCCAACCTTCGTGTATGCGTGGTACCCACATGCGAACCCACCAAGATTTTTTCCGGGTAAGTTGCTAACTCGGGAGCCTGAGAAGCTAGAAGAGATGTTTCCTGGCAGTCCTGGCGGCCAGTCTGAAATTCTTTTAGCTAGAAGCATCTGCCGGAAAAGCCAGTGCAGTTAACGAAAAAAATATGCGGGGAGCTATGCAAAAAACGTATCTTCGCACGAGCAGCCCATGCGTTGGCCAATTATTGCACATATGCAAATGCAAAAACGTATATTGTGACGACCCCGGTGTGTCTGTCTGTCCAGGTGTTTCAACTCGGCAACCAAGCAAGCTCCGGCGCCAGAATTTGCCAGTGGGTTCCCCGGCCAAGTGCCGCCCCGGGACTACAGTACCAATCCCCTCGCACGTCAAGGCTCCGCGTACGAGCGCGTGAAAGTTTTAGCGGAAAAATCGCTAAGTCGAGAATCAGGAAAGCTGGGAGGCTGAAATTTTAGAAGGATATTCCCAGCCCATGTACAACCTAATATTTTAAAATTCAGCCCCCAGATGTGCGTGCTTGTAACATACGGTGGAAGTTTTTGGCGAGAAAATTGCTAGCTCGAGAACCAGAAAAGAGAGAAAGCTGAAATTTTGAGGGGTGTTCCCTGACCAAGTACTATGTGGTTGCACAATTAATTTTTTGAACTTCGAGGACCAGTATGCCATAAATTTTAGCTACTGAGATTTCAAGCTATCTTACAACAGCACGAAATACTGCAAAAACGGATGATTGCATGAACCCGCCCGATGCGCATCATCAATCATTTCCATAAAGCTCGGTTTTTTTTTCCTGTGAATGCTCGTTCATTGAAACATAGGCTGGAACGCACCAGGCTTGCTGGTGCGATCATGCATTTGTGCACCAAACTTAAATTGGTTAACTGCATGAATGGTTGTTGCATCACACCTATGTTGTTTGCTCAATACCGTGAATTATCACAAATTTTGCATAAACGAAAATAGCAATTTTCGTTTAGCGGTCGTTTTTTGAAAATGACCCAGCTGTTCAACGAGAAATTTTCCTGTCAAGACATTTAAATGCCCGTACACGAGGGCCACGCGTCCCAGGAGGCTTAATTTGAAACCTTTAAGTTGTATTTGGACGAGTTCTAAAAACTTCAGGTTCGCAGTTTCTCTAATTCCCGAGAATTAACGACTTCCCCGCCAAAACTTTCACGAGGCCGTACATGAACTAGGGACTGAGTTTGAAATCTCTGGCTTGTACGTTGGCTAGTGACATTCCTTTAAAATTTCAGTCTCTCAGCTGTCCTGGCTCCCTCCCCCAGATTTCCTGGCTGCCGAGTTGAAAGTAGCTACAATGTTCACTCGCTTCCGAACACACACGGATGACTTCTTGACAATATGCATTTTTGCTCGCGGCAGCAGCGCTACACAAAAACGCATAGCGATAACTGAATAATCCGGTTTGCAAGCTCCGGAACCCATGAAGCTTTATTAATACCATTAGTACCGACTTCTCATTCGATGCTTCTCAAAAACTAGTGCAGGATTCTTCTGAGCACGACGAGAGCACTGCAGCCGAACACTGATTTGCGCCTGTGTCCTGTTCTACAACAATAGAAGCCAGAAAAACTATTCACTTCAACCACTGCTGTCAGTTTTGGTGGTATGGCATCCGCTCCTACCTTGTGAGTTTCAGAAATTCGATGTTGGAGAATGTCAAAAGGCTTTAACGCATCCATCACGTTTAGTCAATGAGGCGGACAATATGAACAGGAACAAAGGACTGTTCGCAACAATAATACGAGTCACTGAAAAAAAAAAAAATTAGACACCCATAAGAAACCCCAAGAGACATCAGACTCCCTTTTGCGCCACACATAACTGGGATGATTTCAAAAAATGCAGTCATATCAAGAAAAAACCCCGACTTACGAAAAGTCTCATGGCCGCCCACTAATTACTCACAAAACTGGAGAAGCCAGACTTCTGACGAAAATATCTCAAATATTAGTATTCTACCTGCCCGATACGCACTGCCCTAGCAGCTTTCGCTTTTATTTTGTTCCAGTATCTCATTTGTAACTTCTGCTCCAATTCTGAATAGTTCCGGACAGGCTTATCTAGTCTTAAAACAGCTTAGTATTTTCTACCTAAACTTAGAGTCGTTACATGGCAAAAAATTCGGCCCATCAGCCAACTCCCCGTCCCTGCGGTCAAGTTTTCTCCCTTAAATAACCTCTGTTCACTTTTGCTCAAATTTTTTACTCTTTTACTTCATTTTTTTGCTTGGCTGAATTTCCCGCATTTTTTATCTCATGCGACAATCTGACATCCCACTCACTTCAGTATAACAAAATGAAAGCAATCGCCCCATCGCCATCACCCCGTTCCTCAAGCAAATAACGCTAACTGACTCTCAAAACCTGCAAACCTGCCGTAAACAAACTAAAAATGCATATTTTCCTAAAAACATGAAAAACAATGAGGAAGGAAATAAAACCAACCAAAAGTTGCACTATTTACAAATGACATGAGCAGTTATACATGCGGAACGAAAAAAAAATCACAGATTTCCCGCACTTGGAGTGCAGTTGTATCACAGCAATATCGAATCCACATAGTCCATACGATTCCTACTAACAACAAAGTCTGCAGACACAAACTCCATTCCTCTATATGACCCGCCCCTAAGAATTTTCCGAGCTAGCTTAAAATTCGTTGCTGCTATACCCGGCACGGCTAATCCACTGTCCGAAAAATCCTGAAGTACTGCATATAGCCTATAACTTCAGAGGAAATGTTTCATCAAAATTAACGAAATATTTAAAAAAAAAAAAGAGAGAAACCCGAATTTAAAGGCCAATCCCGGTCCGTTGCAATTTTGATCGATGATAGTGCTTATGCAGAAATTGGCAGCAGCCCAGGAAGGCAAAGAAAAACATTTCACAACGGCCATGGAACAGAAGGTTGGTTGTTCGATTTGGTGTCCGATAAATTTTAATGTTTTTGCACAAAGCTTTTCAAGCATTCCTGATCAAAGCTTTTACTGTTGCAGACAGCTGATCACAGTGATAAGGAAAAGAGATTTGTGACAATTATTTGTTACATATTTCGACGATTGCCCAAAGCAGAAGATGCGCCTTGCAGCTGCTTCATCATATTTTGCAGCCCACCCATCCCACCCATTTGTTGCAATACACGCGGATCCATCATCTTGGCCATTTGCTGATTGAGTTTTTGCAGCTGCGATGGATTGATATTTTTCGTATTCATATCACCGTTCTGAAAATTCCTCATTTAAATTAAAGCGCTTCAGCGACTTGTGAGGGAACTTCCCGTCATTTCCGTAGCGGCGCTTTAACCAACAAAAGCAACCGTCTGCAGTTAAAGGCGGAAATGATTTTCAATTTTCAGTTAAAATGGCCGCTAATCTTTATAAAAAACAATTAAAGGTGAATTCAAGTTTGCATGTTTGATGCGCCAGCCGCAGCTTGCTTCTCTCTTTTGCGCTAAGAAGGCACCATAAACACTCATTCTTACAAATAAACATGAAAATCGTGCAGGAGTGCATGACGGCTGGTCAAGGTGAATATATTGGCTAAAACATGTCGCAGTTCCGACGAAGAAGGCATTAAAAACTAGATTACACTAAGGAGCGAAAAAAGTTTAGGAAAGCCGCAACTGACAGCAAACTGCTAGAAGAAAGCCATATCCAAGAAAGAATGGTCATTCTGGCGGATGCATATGACCTAAGGTTAAATAATTGGCCAGCACATCAACTACCTGCGCAAAGATGCGTTTTTTGCACTGTTACCCGCAGATTTTTTTTCGCTAATGGCACTAGCTAAAAGAATTGAGACTGACCACTTTGACTGTGAGAAAACGTTCCCTTAAAATTTCAGCTTCCCAGCATTTCAGGATCACGAGTTAGCAACCTACCCGCAAAAAATTTTTACGGGCCCGTACCACACCATCTGAGGGCTGGATTTGAACTCATTAAGTTCTATGTGGACGGGGGACATCCTCTTAAAATTCCAGCTTTCTTGGTTCCCAAATTAGCAGCTTGCCCGCCAAAAACGGGCCCAGGCGGGGAAACCACATGGGCAAGGGAATACATTTTGGGGATAGGGGTCCGTACACACGTGCAGATTGAGTTCCCAAAGTTTCAGCCTTGTGGCTCTTGCAGGTCTCGAGATGAAAAATTGGTACAGACGCAATACAGACCCAGACACATCTCTCGACAGTATGCGTTTTCGCATAGCATAGATGCAAAAAACGCATAAAAAAGAGGTTTACTGGTTCAATAAAAAAGTGAAATTACGAATTTCGAAAGCAACGGTTCAGTGATTGCTAATTACAAAAGGAACCAACTGACCCATCCAATTTTAAGCTGGAGGGAAAGGTAGGATTAGAAATGAGTTATTATTTTCTTTTTGATAATATTTCTACCAACAGGCCGGTTGTTAAACATAGGCAGAGCGACTTTAGGTTTAAATAAGTTGTCGAGTAACCTAAAAAACGGGTCCTTTATGCTATGCCACTATTCGTGGCTATGTTATCACAGATATGATTTCTACTTGTCGTGGAGTGCCCTGCGGCTGTCGTGTTGTCTTATACGTAATAAAGTCGCAAAAACTTCGATGCGACAGCCGTATGCCGTATCACTGTATGACAAACTTCTTAAAGGGAGTAAACTACTTGTATTACTAAAAACAGTTCGGCTCGGTCATTTTTTGCTGAAAATTGGAACAATTTTAGCATCATGTTTTTTCGGCAGCAGATTCTCTAAAAATTCATCAAATACAAAAGCGCTACTATTAGACCCGTTTTTGTCTGTCTTCCCGAACGCACTACTCTCGCTATAATCTCAAACAAGCAACTGTAAAATCAACCTTGAACAGACCCTTCATACTGCCCATTTTCTTAACCATATCAGCGAATTTCTTGTACTGCGTTAACAGCTCTTTAACTTCACTTGTTGCTGTCCCGCTACCGCGTGCCACGCGCTGAACTCGTCCCGGTTCCTTCGAGAATAAATCGTTTGCTTTCGGATGATCCAATTCTGTCAGAAATAAAAATTTTTAACACACGAAGTTTTATTTAGAAGTTGGTTTCTTCTTTTTTTTTTTTTTTTTTTAATAACGACTTTTCCGCATTTTAATAAAGTTGTGTTAGGCTAAAGAAATCATAAATGCAAAGAAATCGTAAATATACACAATATGAATGAGACTTAAAAAGTACTGAAAGTGTGCCAAGAGTTGCAAAACCCGGGTGCTTCTTTAACAGGAATATGCTTTTACACATGATTATTTCAAGAACTTGATATGCATAGGTTTGAATACTCAATCAGAATCTACCTGCATCCGACATGCTATCCATAATGGTCATCAGTTTCTTCAGCCGATACTGCGATTCCTGTTCGTTACCTTTAGACATAAAATCGGGTCCGAATCCGGGAATCATACTCTGAACAAAAAGAAAACATCCTAATTACATGGGATAAGAAAACGGCATTAGCGAACCCAATAGTTTGTAGTGACGAATGCAAACAATCAATTTCGCATAGGTTTTTAATTCAGGATGAAATATATGCACTGTCTACACGTAAATTCTCATCATCATCGTATTATCACCAATATTAACTTACCATAATTTGATTAAATGGACCCATCTTCATGATATTTTGGAACTGTTCGTACATATCGCGCAACGTGAACATTCCTGTAAGTAAAACTAAAATCAGTGGAGGGTTATGAGAGACGCCCTTGTACAACTCCTTCCCGCTCCGGTGATGACCGTCACAGAACTATCCTGAAGCAGAGGAAACTGCACCAGTATGAACCAAACGAAAACGGAGCTACAATGATGCAAACCAGCTAAAGAGGTGCAGATATTTGCTGAAACTACCAAGAAGAAGCAAAATCTGATTAACAACGCGCAAAAATTAGCACCGATTTTGCACAACAACAGGGTGAACACTGCGCGGAAAAAGTAAACATGTGTTGCCGTTTTGCGGTAAGCGGCGCATGCCACTGCTTTATGCTAATTCATTGAAAAAAATTAAAAAATTTTTCGTTGAATAAACAGGAACAAATGATCAAAACGGTCTGGAATATTGGGATAAGACTCTCGGAGTTACTGAGGTGCAGCCAGCAGACAAGCACAGATGAGTTAAGCCTACTTGTCCTAGACTATCTGCTCACAGCAGGCACTCAATTACACGTGTGATCAACATATGGAATCATGAAAATGATTAGTTTTTCTCTCTTAAACACCTCTCAATGAAAATGTATTGCCCACTACTTGTAAGGAAAGGAGCGGCGTGTTTCTGATACTGCTGAAATTTACTATCTCCGGCAAGCTGGTAGCAGAAACAAAACCTCGGTGCAAAAGTGCTGATGCAGTTAACACAGTGAAAACAAACAAGAGACTTGTCACGCATCTTTACATGTCGTCTCTTTGAACTATTCGTAAAAACAACCTTAGGATCTATTACAAAAGCACAGCTCACCATGTTTTAGCCGTTTTATAAGTTCTTCGTTATCTTCAATACCAATTTCATTCACTTTTTTCACGAGACCTTCAATGTCGCCCATTCCTAATAATTTTTGCACAAACGGTTTCACCTCGAAAGGCTCAAAATCATCGATGTGCTCGCCAGTACCAATAAATATTACGGGCGAATGCGTGGCCGCTACGCTGAAAATTTGTGAATAGTGTTGCAAAAAATCCGGCGCGAAACAATCGAGGAATCCACACGGAAAGCTTAGCAACCCTAACTAAGGGTGTTTGGCTGAATATTTTACATCATTGTCAGCTCACGGTAAGTAGTCATTTCTACTCCCCGCTGTTTCGCGGCTTCGTCCAACCAACATACGTTAAGTGCTATTCAAAAAAAATCGAAGCTGACAAAGAAATTCAAGTAGTAGATGATGGTAATAAAAACTAATAAAAACATACGCGGACAGCGCTCCACCACCTTTCGCGTGACTATCCAGTTTGGTGATAATAACTGAACCGACATCAACGGTTTCTTTAAAAGCACGAGCCTGTGCCTCACACGCCTGCCCAATCGATGCATCCATAACGAATACAATATTGCTTGGATTCTGAAAGCTAGATGTTATAAACTATTGAAAGTGAACAGCTGCGCCTTGCTGCAACGGAAAGAGAGTTCCATACACCCCGGAGAGACGTTAAAAGGATATGCGAAGAATGAAGTGGAAGAGAACAAATAATTAGAAGGGCAGATTGACAGTGGAAGTTTTATAAAATAATGTAAAATTTGGCTCGAGAAACGCAACATTTCGTCAAGACATTAAACTTAATTAACTAGATCTGGTGGTACTTGAGTAAAAGTGGGCCTAACACACAGGTAAAAAATGCCACAGTTAAAAAAACAGCGAGGGAAAAACAAAACGGCCGAGAAAAGGTTTCAAAAAATTACGAAGCACTGCTTCTTTTTGGCGAGGAACGTCAGGACGTCACTGCAGTTGTGCAGTCAAGTACTGTCAATTAATTGTTGTCCTCCGAAAACATAGTTTGAGACGCTGCACAGTGTAAATCTCTGTGATTATGAGAGCATAGAACCAACCACAGCATTTGCGACTTGAAGCATTTCCTCGAACAAAGAGGCTTCTTGCTTGTGGCGACCAGAAGTATCCACAATGATTATTTCGAAGCCGTCCTCTTTGAATTTGTCCACACCATTCGACGCAATAACTACCGGATCCATTTCGGTGTAGCTGAAAATTGAACTGAATGCATGTACGCGGCGAGATCAACTAAATTTAAATAGAACAAGGGAAGCCCAGTCAAAGTGCAGCAGGGAGAACGAAGACGCCAAAAATGAGTCTTTGGTCGCGTACGAATGAGTACCCCGTCCCTTATTAGCAATGCTAAACACTATTCTCCAGCACTGCTCACGAACCACCTGAGACTGCTTCAGACTGCTCTTCCTGCCATACGTTCTGCGATGCAGCGTCCCAGCAACATTTGCAGAGTCAAAAGTTGAACTTATTTTTTAAGTACTTCCATTAAACGATTCCGTTCTGTAAAGCGGGCAAAAGATAGCGAGCAGGAGAAGCAAGGAGCAATCCAGAAACGTGCAGCAATTTGACCCGTGATCTGTCCCACCCTTTGTGATGAGTATTTAAGCTTGTGAATTTGTTGTAAGATTCAGTGTGTACGTTCAGTATCGTCATCGACTGCGTCTTCCGTGTCTCGTCGTGTATCCCCTCAGCGTTCAACGTTACCTTCCCGTGTCGTCAGTACTCAGGATCGTGGGTATTCAGTGTGCCCTACTTTTCGCGTCGAGAGGTCCAGTCCAGCAGTGTGGTGCTGCAATCCAGTTATCGGCACCTTGTCCGCAGCGGTTGTCGCTGCAAGCATCCAATTCAGTTTCCATCGCCCCAACGAATCACTTGTAATCTAGTATTCGTGTTGATAAAGTTTGTTTGTTGACTCCAATCTGTCCACTACGCGCCACAGTACAACAGCATTCATCCAGCCCTCGTCGTATCTTCATCGTCATCGTCGTAACATCGTTCCTCGTTGTCTGCACAACAGTTCTGTTGCCGTGCAAACATAAGCTATCCGAGCTTCCTCTGCTCAACCGATGCCCGATATTTTGCGAGTGCAAGTGGCATTGCACAACTTCCACAATGACTCACACTCTTTCAGCTCTCCGTTCAGTGTAGTACGCCCATGTCAAGCAGAAGCACTGACAATCGCCGCAAAAAAGTAATAAAAGCAATGGCTAAAGCTCCCAGAGCATTTTGTTCTAGGCACCTGATGACTAGACTGCAGTGGGATGAGCCAGAGAATTTAAAGAAACCCTGCGTTGTTGCAATCTTTCCGGCTGAACGCAGTGCATTTTTTGACTGGCTGAGCTTAATTTATTTGCCACCAACTTTTTAAAGAGTGTCTGATACTTCTTCACACGCCTAATCGAGAAGAACGAAAAATACGCTTTTAAGTGTTGTCGTGCGAAAAAACTTTCACGGCAATCCTGGCCGTGCCCGGTTTGCAACCCCTCTGTAATGTCAAAGTAAGATTACGAGTGTCGCATAACAGACCTCCCATAGAATGGTATCCTTGCTTTTGTTGCGTTTTGTTTAAGCTGGTCGAATGCACCAGCACGAAACGTATCGGCACATATTAAGCACGTCTTCCAGCCTTTCCTCTGGTAGTGATACGCCAGCTGAAAATCAGTCCCAACTGCTGTGCCGTATGCTTACGTCAGAACGGCATAACCTTATTTTACATGAGTATCCAAAATGCTACTCAACAAAAAAGAACTGACAGACGTGCAAGAAAGAGGCCATCAAATTCGCCCATTCAATCCTTCATAGCCTAGCTACGCTGGGCCTGTTCGAAAACGGCAGATTGCACTGGCTGGCACCCTCATTCTAAGGCAGACAGCGAGATGTCCCGATTTTTGAAAAAAAGAGTGACCAGTCAGACTTGCACCGATGAAAAGGTTTCGCTGTGTGTCTCCTTTTACAGTGCCGATTTCAGGATCCTAGCATTAGCACAGCAAAACCAATTACTTATCCCAAACAGCATTTTCGCCCGTTCAAAGAATACAAAAAATAAAGTCTAATTTGGAGAAGGGAAGCACCGACACAGCACCACACTGCAAAAGGGCAAGTGCAAATGTATCAATGCAGGTGGGTAGCCTTGACAAATGAGAACACTGTCGCCAACTGCCCACCGACTGAAAAGACCGAAAACAGCAAACTGTATAAAAATCTGCTTGGGTGCCGCACAGAAGTCTCACTTTCCTCCCCCATGCCGGCCAGCAAGTTGAGAACTAGAAAAGTCCCCGGCAGCGACACCCAGCCCCGCTGAGTCTAAAACCTCGGTCATCAGAGGGCCTTCGTTATCCAATCGCAACAACATTTGAAATAAAACAAAATCTGGCACTTAGGGTCACCTAAACTACTTCACACATCGAAAGACTTGCTAAGGAAGGAGAAGTGAATTAGACTACAACCTATAAAAAAAAATTTCAAATACTGATTATTATTATTATTATTGTTGTTGTTGTTATTATTATTATTGTTATCATTATTATTATTATCGTTATCATTATCATTATTATTATTATTGCTATTATCATTATTACTGTTATTGTTGTTATTATTGTTGTTGTCATTATTATTATTGTTATTGTTACTATTATTATTGTCATTATTATTATTATTGTTATTATTATCATTATTATCACCATTATTGCTATTATTATTATTGCTATTATTATTATTATTATCATTATTATTATTATTATTGTTATTGTTATTATTATTATTATTATTATTATTATTATTATTATTACTATTACTATTATTATTATCATTATTATTATCAACTGTCCCATCCGACTTTTTGATGAATGAACAGCAACTGAAAAAGATGAAATTGATTTTCGGAGGAGCCTGAGCGCAAAAAAAAACCCCACAGTTTCGCCCTAAAAATGATGACCGCTAGAAGCCTAGGAAGTACACAGAGCAACTGTACTGACTGTCGTTTAACACCTGTACCGTACCTTGGTGCAAGTAGTCGTTTTTCCGGAACCCTGCAGTCCAACAAACATATAAATATTATGTTTCCCTTTTGATGGCTGAAAAGCCTTTACGCCAGGATCCACAAGTTTCATCAGTTCCGTAAAAACACAACGCTGGATCAAACGCCTTTTGTTTACGCCACCAGCCATTTCATCAAAGTCCAGAGTCTTCCTAAAGTGAATTTATGCACAGTACGGCTGTCCGATTAAACTCACTGACTAACTAAATGACAAAAAATTCAGCTTAATTCGCAAAAAATAAGAAACTTTAAAATTTTCAACCGAGCCACCTTAACTTCGGTGACATCTGGAAAAACACGAACTCCCAAATTTACGGATTTTCGGGCCTTTTTCGGCCTACCTTTTGCACTGGCCTTTTAAAAAGCGCTGGACATGTAAAACAATCGTGAAATCAAATTTTTGCTGCCTATATCCTATTCTGCTCATTCCTGCACAGAAACGTTTAAAAAAAATTTTTTTTTTCACCTAACATACTTTCTGCCAATTTCTGAACAAGTAGGAAGAGTGCTCCTACCCCATCGGGCACATAATGGGAAGAGAAGCACGCCACGCAAAGCAGGAACGGCGAAAATGGAAAAAAGGCTGACTTCACGTTATCCTTGAGCTGCTTGACCAGTCGAACGTTGACATCCGCCTCCAGAAGTGCTGCGCAGACCTCTTTGAGCATCGCATTGAGCTCATCCTCGTTGATGATCGTCGCCTGGCCGAGTTTACTGATCGCACAGCGAATTTTACGGCCCAAATCTGCCAGCACCATTTTTTACTGCAAAAATTCCACGGCATCTAAGTAAGTAGTGGCCAGTCAATACACACACACACACACACACCTAAGTATAGTAACACAGCCGCAGCAGGAAACAGGAGAGACGACGGAGGAAGGAGGAGGGGGGGGG